GATATTTAACTATGATTGATAATGTTTAGCTATGTTTGATAATGTTTAACTATATTTGAGAATGTTTAAGAAAAAGATATATAAACCCTAGCTTTTTTCCTCTCTTGTAAAGTAGTTCTGTAGTTTTTCACAGTTCTCTAATATAGTCTGTATAGTTCTTGTATTAGTTCTATCAAGGTCTAAAATAATACAGTACTCAATAAAGTCTAAAGTCTTCTATTTATCTCTTAATAAAGTATCCTTAGCCTTGCCAAAAATACTTCTTTTAAATGAACTGCTACAGTAATATAATATACTATTTTGATACCATTGGAAGTCTCCTTCTATATCTTATGTTACCTGTAGTATATTGAGAAGGCTATGCTACTTGTAATATCATGATGAATATTCTCAGATGCAATATTCTTAAATAACAACAAGAAGATTAATAGATGAAATATTATTGATAACAAAACAATTTTCAGATGAAATATTCTTGAATAATAGAGAAAATACTTAGATGAAAAAGAAATTTTTAGATGAAATATTTCTGGATATTAAAACTAATTCCTAGATATAATATTCCTAGATGATTATAATAATTTTTAAATATCATAATTTTTGAATATTGAGATAGCTCACAGCTTACTATAACCTTACAGAAAGAGAAATTCCCTGCTAGACAGATACCTCATGAGCCAAGTATAGATATAAGGATCCAGAAAATTTTAGAAATTACTATAACATCTACAAATTAATTTTTGTATCTACATATATTTTGATCTTTCTATTATAATCTCTTTTATGATTACAAACTTCTTCTCTTTTCTTATATATTTAATGATAAAACAAATTGAATCAAACAAATTTTTTAAAATTTCTATCCTCTTTTATTATCCTTCTTATACTTTTTTATTTATATATACTTTATTATTTCTTGTTAAAATTTTATTTATTTATTTACAAAATTTAACTACTACTGAAAAACTCAAATCTAACTATTCTTTCCCTACTACTACTACTTTTACCATTATTATTATCATTATTATTATTACCTCTTCTTCTCCTAACCTCATTCTTTAAATTTAATATCTAAGTCTACAACCTATTTCTTTCTCTCAATAATTACTCATCTTTCATATTCCTTATCCAATTCCTCTATATATTCTCCATAATAGTTTCTTGTTATATCTCTACTCTTTCCTCCAACTGATGAACTCTATAATATAAACTATTCACTTCTTAAACTAATCTAAATAATTTTTGAACTAGAGCTTAATATATATTATTGTTATTAAATAATATATTATTGATAAATACCTTCTATTTGCTATTTGGACAACTTCTAAAGCTTTGAAAAAAGGATTAATAGGGCCACCTCTTAAATTATGATGAGCAGAGAATCTTTGTTAATTGTAGTTGAAGCTTCAAGTCATTGTTATTATTATTATTATTGTTATTATTATTATTATTATTATTTTAAACTTTTAAAAAATTTTTTTTTAAAGTTTGATTTTATTGATCTTATCTAAAAACTTTATATATTTTAAATTTTATATTTCATATAACTAGATTTAAATATTCTTATTAGACAATTGTTAGCAAAAGCCTGCTGACTAAAAAAGGTCGGTGAAAAATTTTAGATATTAAGCAGTTGTAGAATAATAGTTTAGATATGTGTAACTAATTAATCCCTAGGTCAAAAGTTTAATTTCAGCTTAGGATGAGACAATCCTAACTGATGAGTTTTAGTAGTGTCTCTTAAGTTACAATATCTGTAATCTTTTTATAATTATTTTATTCAATATTACTATTTATTAAAGCAATAGTAATCTTATTTTAATATCCTTAAATACTTTAAGTATTTTCTTATTTAACTAGAAATACTTTAATTTTTGATTTTATTTTAATTTTTTTTAATTTTTAAATTTTGAAACTTCAAATTTTCAGAAAAAATTTTTAAAACCTGAGGAAAAGAACAATAATTTTTAAACAATCCTCTTTATAATTTTTAAAGAAAATTTTTTTTTATTTTTCAAACAATAATCAAACAATTTTTGAATAATTTTTGAAACAAAGAATTTATTCAAATCAGAATTTCTTTAAATTCATAATACTTAGATATTTTAAATTTATGAAACAAATTTCTTTAAGGGAGAGAATATATTATAAGATAGATTTTTAGTTATTTTTTTTTTTTCCTTAGGTGATCTTGTCTATTATTTATTAAAAAAAAGCTTAAATAAGCTACAGAATAAAAAAACTATAAATGTTCTATACTAAATTACCCTTCTTTATACTAATTTTAGGCTCACTTAGCTACTTTCAGATATCTAAGTATGATCTGCTACAATAGTAATTTCCTTCATAAAAGCAATAAGTTATATTCATAACCTACTTACTTCTAATCCTTAGGAGACTACTACTAGCCCTTATCAAGATCTTCTATTTTATTTTGAGTCATGACTACTCTTCTTTTGAACTATAAGCAACCTATTTGTTGATTTTTTTACATGCTTCTTCCTGAATAGCAAATTCTTTTTTTTTTTGGTTTTCTTTTCTGCATTGAGTAGTTTGTAGTTTTTTTTATCTAGATTTGCTTTTTTCTTTTTTTCTTTTAACTTTTTTTCTCTCATAGAGATATTGTTTTTTTTTTCTATTTGATCATAATTTTATATCAAAACTTCTATAAGTCTTCAAAAAAATATGTTTAAAATTAATCTAAAAATATTAATAGTACTTGGTTTGCTTTCCTTTTAGAGTTAGTTAGTTAACTTCATAACCTCTCTTTGTTGTTTAATACTTGTAAGTTCTCTAATAAGTATTTTTTTATTTTAAATATATATATTTGACTTATTTTTGAAGATAATATTTCTGAAAGATCTATCTTCTAATGAAATATCTAATTTTGTTATTGTTTGCAAGCCTGTTAACTGTAATGCTTCCTCTTTTAAGTTTTTCCAAATCTTTATATAAATTTTATATTCTGTAATATGATATAGTAACTCATCCTTTCTGAAACAAGCTATGCATCTCTAATTTTTATATAATATTAGGTTTCTTAAAAAGCATATATCATTGGTTAGCAATATGCTATTTATATATTTAATATAAAATAAAAATACTTTGTTTTTTTTCCTATTGATATAGTTCTTTCTCTACTATTTTTTAAGTACTTGCCAGGTATTGTTTCAGAAAAAACTCTCATGTAAAAGCTCTTCTTCATTAATGTTAATGATTTCTACTATTTTGCTTAGTTTAGACTACTCAGTCTCATAATAAGTTACTGATATTAAGTTAACAAAAGATCTCAGAGAGCTATCTATGATCTATTCTTTTAATTTAAGTATAAAAGCAATATCATTAGATACAACTTTAGGTATCTCAAATGTATCTTGCATATGTAATCCCTTTCTAATAAGATTATCTGCATAGTTATTTCCTGTATTGCTACTATATTCTTTAACCTTATATAACTTTAGGTCAAGATTCTTAGCTTTGCAACATTCTTGTATTTGTCTTAGTAAGCTTCAGTTTTTCACTTTGAACCAGTTGTGAAGTTTATTATTATCTCTAAATTTTTTGATTATTTCAATTACTACTTTGCTATCTATAAATATATAAACTTATATTTTAGCTAAAGTTGTTAGCAAAGCAGTTCATATTGTTCTTAGTTCAGCATGTGTAGAAGAGAACTAGTTTTCTATACTACTACTAAAACTAATTTCTTTAGCTAAAGGCAATGACAAATATTAGATAATATTTTAGAGGGTAGGGAGTTAGCTAAAATCTTAGATTACACAAACTATAATAACAACTAATTAAAATTAAGAATTATTTAAATATAATTAACTCGGATTGGTCAAAGAATTTAGATAACGGACCTAAGAATGCACCCAAAGCTAGCTTTAATATATAATCTGAAACGGATTAAATCCGGATTTAATATAATCCGGATAGTCTGTCAGAAATAGGATCGAAGCATTACTCTAATTTAAATATTTAGATCTACAGAATAAAAACCTAATATTTTTATTATTATAAAGTAGTCTAAATAGCAATCAAATTTCAGTAATAAGCCTATTTTTATTATTATTATCAATTTCACTTTTATCCTTGCTATATAGTTTATTTTCAAATACTACCTCAATTTTTTTCTTATCATTCTTATATTCCTGTCCCTCCTTAATATATCTTTCTCGCTCTGCTTCAACTTCATGCCTCAAAATTTTCAAAACAGTCACATCTTGTTGAGGTAATGAATTTATATATGCTAAATAAAAATAAAGTTTCTTTTCTGTCAAGAATACTTTTTTTTTATATTTATCTTTTAGTAAATAATTACTTGAATTTTTAATAGTGGACTTTTGTGCAGTTTGTTGTTGCGATTGAAAGAGACGATAAAGATCTGAAAACGCAGCAAGCACTGAATCTATAGATTTAAGTAAACAAATAATGTCACCCAAGATTAAAGATTGAAATTCTGGAGGCTGCATATATTTCGGATTCTAATTATTAAAAATTTAATATTAAATTTTGATCTGGTTTGTTATGAATGAAACAATTAAAGTGATTTCAAACTGTTTACTTGAAGAATTATGATATAGCTAGCCATTATAGCCTCATCTACACTCTGAAACACTACATTTTCTGTAGCATTCAGGATAGGAGATAATTCCCAAAGTATATTTATTGAATCTTGAACGTTTTCGTGAATTGAACCGTTAAATATTCGGGATATGTACGCATATACATATCTGTTTAGTATTTAAAAGTTAAGTATAATGTTTCACTAATTTTTATGGAATTTTAATTTGAACAGTAAAATATTAGGATACAAAATATTTATAAGGTTCAAAGCCAAAGCAGGATTTGGAGATTTCTTTGTTAGTTCCTCAATTCTTTTTATATTTGACAGTATCTGTGGTCTCTGCGATGATGAGTCTTTGAGTTTGATTTGGAAAGATTCTGATAATTGAGTTTCACGTTCCATTACTTGAGGCAAAACTTCTATTATCTTATCAGATGTATTTTCCCACCATGGTTTCCATAATGGTAATTCATCGATAAGTTCTAGAAAGTTTTCTGGATTTCCACCAATAAATTTTTGCTGAAATTCCGCTCGTTCTTGCGGTGTCAGTTTATTCCAAATTGTTTCAATATCGGCGGAATCTGCGGGTGGAAAGAAAAAAGATTTGTGAGAATAATAGAAAAATTAAAGAGAATTGAGAATTGACAGGG